GTGCCAGCAGACGTTTTTTTTTTTTTTAACTCTCCTAGTAAAAAACCTAAGATTAGGGTCAAACTTGTATCATGAGCAGAGCAACAATTGATTATTGATGCAATAAAAAGCTTCCCAATTTAATAAAAAAAAAGTATGTGCAGCCATGACATTGCCTTTATTAATAAGCAACTCCTTTGCCTTTGATGTATTAAAATTATAGCTTAGTTTGCTCGTTTTTCCAAAACACTCTAAACTACACTTCAAAACTCCCGTTCGCAGGCACAGAAAATGCAGCACGGTGCATATAATACACCTGGGTGAAACCTGTATTTAGTGCGTTTGAAAGCAACGCTACCTGTGTGTGCGGTGTTGTTAAAATGACGAGTAACAAACATTGTGATCGATAATGACAAAGCGGGATCATACTCTCCGTAGGCTCCTTCTCCCAGTGTCTGAACCAGGTCCCAGTCCTGCACAAAAGGCACCGCCATGCTGAAGACAGAATCATATAGTCTGCATTAGGCTGCCACAGAAAAACACTTGCTCGTTTTCCAGGCTACTAATAACCTCTTTACTTTCTAATATCTCGTATTTGGTTTCTGGTTCGTATTCCTTAGTGTGAGGATATTTAACATTTTATCTGACAAACTGTCATTCTCTGTAAGTTAATACAACGGCGCTGTTAAATTAACACACATGATGCACAAGCTAAACGAAACGCAAAGTTAAAAAGCAAGTTGTTGTTGTTGACTCGTAGTTAAATAACAACTTACCTGTACAGCCTTCTTCAATCAGTAGCTTTTTTTTTATAAATGTATACGCAAAGATTAGACAAATTTTTTCATGTATTTGAGGCTGACACAGGCTGACACAAATTTGGCGCGTCGTTGTTTTCTTGGCGATAGCTTCCGCCTGCACGTCATTACCGCTTCTTCTTCGGTTCTCTTTTTTACGGCAGATGGCATCACTCGTAGCGCTCGTTGCATCACTGCCATCTTCTGGAGTTAGTTTAGCCTCCTACAGTTTCAGGTTTATCTCTCATTGTAAAAGGATTATCAAAATTATATAAAATTCCATTTAAAATGTAAGTAAAGTACTAAATATGCCAATTAGGAGTGAAAAACGTCTTTGCTGAGTGTGATCAACAAGGTACATTCATTAGGTAACGTCCCCTACTTAAAACTGAGTGTAGAAACAATTGTAAAGAGCATCTCTCAAGTGATCACTGATTGACTACATGTAGCCTACATTCAGAGAATAAAAACCCAGATCCCAGGTAGAGATAACATGATACTACAGCCTACATCCATCATCATACTGTAGGCTATACTGTTTAAACAATGATCCTTTCATTAATAAGCCTTTAATTAGAGAGCCTGTTAGGTTTATTGTTTGTGCGTTTGGAGTCCACAGCTTATCCAGTTTGTCCACTAATATAAGTTAAAATATAAATCCACACAGAGCACATTATCAGACTGAATGCCAGGTCTATAATATTAAGACTTTCTTCCTCCTTTGCCATAATTTTCACAAGTTCTCCAAATACTACAAAGACCTAATTAACATCCCAGATGACTGCCAGGATACATTGGTGCAAATAAGTATTTGATACACTGCCGATTTTCCAAGTTTTCCCATTTACAAAGACTGGACAGTTCTGTAATTTTTATTGTAGGTACACCTCAACTGTGAGAGACAGAATCTACAAAAAAATTCCATAAAATCACATTGTTAGATTTTTAAATAATTTATTTCCATTTTATTGCATGAAATAAGTATTTGATCACGTACCAACCAACAAGAATTCTGGCTCTCACAGACCTGTTAGTTTGTCTTTAAGAAGCCCTCCTATCCTCCACTCATTGCCTGTATTAATTGCACCGGTTTGAACTCGTTACCTGTATAAAAGACACCTGTCCACACGCTCAGTCCCAACTTCTCCACTATGGGCAAGACCAAAGAGCTGTCTAAGGACACTAGGGACAAAATTGTAGACCTGCACAAGGCTGGGATGGGCTACAGGACAATAGGCAAACAGCTTGGTGAGAAGGCCACAACTGTTGGCGCAATTATTAGAAAATGGAAGAAATTCAAGATGACTGTCAATCTCCCTCGGACTGGGGCTCCATGCAAGATCTCGCCTCGTGGAGTATCAATGATCCTGAGAAAGGTGAGGGATCAGCCTAGAACTACACGAGAGGACCTACCCAATGACCTGAAGAGAGGTGGGATCGCAGTCTCAACAGTTACCATTAGTAACACACTACACCGTCATGGCTTAAAATCCTGCAGCACACACAAAGTCGCTCTGCTCAAGCCAGCACATGTCCAGGCCCGTCTGAAGTTTGCCAAAGACCATCTGGATGATCCAGAGGAGGCATGGGAGAAGGTCATGTGGTCAGATGAGACCAAAATAGAACTTTTTGGTATAAACTCCACTCGCCGTGTTTGGAGGAAGAACACCACCATCCCAACCGTGAAGCATGGGGGGTGGAAACATCATGCTTTGGGGGTGCTTTTCTGCAAAGGGGACAGGACGACTGCACCGTATTGAGAAGAGGATGGATGGGACCATATATCGTGAGATTTTGGATAACAACCTCCTTCCCTCAGTAAGAGGCGGACACCCTCTCTACCTTTAAGATTAGACTTAAGACTTTCCTTTTTGATAAAGCTTATAGTTAGGGCTGGATCAGGTGACCCTGAGCCTTCCCTTAGTTATGCTGCTATAGGTCTAGGCTGCTGAGGGGCCCCATGATGCTCTGAGTTTCTCTTCTCTTCTCCCCTCCCCTCTCCTTCTACAGTGCCTTGCGAAAGTATTCGGCCCCCTTGAACTTTGCGACCTTTTGCCACATTTCAGGCTTCAAACATAAAGATATAAAACTGTAATTTTTTGTGAAGAATCAACAACAAGTGGGACACAATCATGAAGTGGAACAAAATTTATTGGATATTTCAAACTTTTTTAACAAATAAAAAACTGAAAAATTGGGCGTGCAAAATTATTCAGCCCCCTTAAGTTAATACTTTGTAGCGCCACCTTTTGCTGCGATTACAGCTGTAAGTCGCTTGGGGTATGTCTCTATCAGTTTTGCACATCAAGAGACTTAAATTTTGCCCATTCCTCCTTGCAAAACAGCTCAAGCTCAGTGAGGTTGGATGGAGAGCATTTGTGAACAG